TGGAGGTCATCAGGGTAGAAATGCCGGGGTCCCCGCTGTGCCAGACGGGTAAGACCTTTTACACAGGAGGAGCCGGCCTTAGACACAAGTGAGGAGAACCATATCTGGGACAGGCCTGCCGATGGGTATTTGTGGAGCTGACAGGCTTTGTAAGCAGGAAACAGGATCATCAAATACGATGAAGAATGAGAGGTGTATGTTAGTTTTGAGGCAAATGCAGAAGGTTTAACCTGGGTTTTGGTAGATTAGGCGAGAGGACAGAATTTTGTGACCCAGAATTCGAGGCTTTCTTGAAGGACGAGTCCAGAATCCAACCCATGGTGAGTCGTTCACCAGCCACATTCAGCTACACTGTCACATTAGAGTTAGAACTCAGCCAATCATTTTCCCCAAAGAGTCGGATAAATCAGAGCAGTGAGAGAGGACAGGCCTTTTTTGGAGGTATGTGGCTGTCATGAGTGGAATGGCCACCACCGGTCTCTGTGTAGTCTTCCCTTCTTCTCCTTGCCCTCACCTCTCTAGTCCACTGCTCAAGACTTGCTGGAATGTGTGTCTCTGCTCCAGGATCTTTGCAGCAGCCCTAGAACACTGCCCCCCCCCCCCCCCCCGCCGGTGCCTCCAATCTCGTCTCCTGCTGCACTTAGAAGACTATTTTGAAAAAGGCAAACAGTCATTGCTCAGGCTTGAAATCATTTGGGGGCTCCTTTGTTCTTCATGTAACTTTTATGTTCCTTATTACTGTCTTTTAACAGCTCTCCCCCACCCAAACGCCAACATTGGCTTCATAGCTAAGTGCCATCACAGCCATGCTGAGTGCTTTTTAGGTGTTTAAGTGACACATGATTATTTACACACCTGAACAAGTTTACACATTATTTCCCGTGCCCCACAGTGCCCCACAGCGCCCCTTGTCCCACTCACCAAACCCGAATCCCAACCAAAGCACGTCATCCGAACCCTTGAATAATCCTTTAGATTTCAAGTTTACTTCAGGCCTCCTCCAACATGCCCTTCCTAAAGTCCTTAGTCAGCTAGGCTTTTTGTGAACTCAGCCCCCTTGTCCAGTTGTATGGAATCCCTAATTCCGAATAAAGTGCTTGGCAACATAGAGAGTGCTTCACGAATATTTGTAATGTGAATTAATTAATAAAAAGATATTGATTAAAGAACTGCTCACCTTCGCAGCAACCTATGCTTTCTTCGCGCCCCCCCCCCCCCCCCGAACAAAAGAAATCAAAGTCTAACATGCCGAATGTATTTGTGAAGGGTAATGTACTTGGTAACAAAGTTGTCAGTTCTTGGCAAGAGTCTCTTGTTTTGAAGCCTTTGTTTTCTCACCAGGAGCTGGCTGGCTTTCTCACTGTGATCCCTTCCCAATTTATCATTGCTTATACCGACAGAGAGAGAGGGAATATAGTATGATATTTAAGAGCACAGGTTTTGAGACAGACTACAAGATTCAAATCCTTACCTCTGACATTTACCAGCTATAATGACTTTGGGCTATTTATTTAACCTTTCTTTGCCTTGGTTTCCATATCTGCAAAATGAAAATAATAACTGCCTCACAGCGATGGTGTAAAAATTAGGTAAATTATTATATCAAGAAACTGAGAACAAAAAAACCTGGCACCTATGTGCAAACCGCATACACTGGGTAACTATGATTTAGCTTTAGTTTTCTTATTCCTGGTATAGCCTCATATCAGAAGAGAGGAGAGGATTTTCTCTATTAGCGGTCCAGGCCAGATGTTTTGTGGTCCAGATCATTAAACTGTGCCTTCAAAATTGCCTGAGAGGGGCAGGTGGGTAACTCAGTCGGTTAAGCATCTGACTTCAACTCAGGTCATGATCTCACAGTTTGTGAGTTTGAGCCTCATGTCAGGCTCTGTGCTGACAGCTCGGAGCCTGGAGCCTGCTTTAAATTCTGTGTGCGTCTCTCTCTCTGCCCCCGTTCATGCTCTGTCTCTCTCTCTCAAAAATAAATAAACATTGAACATTTTTTTTTTCTAAATGCCTGAGATATCCCTTTCTGGAGACTGAAGTCTACAACATACACATCTGCACAGGACTGTTACCTGAGGACGGTAGGTGGCTGGGTTACAGAAGACCCTGCTTCATAACTGCTCCCCAGACCGAACTTTCTGAGGCTGGGTTCCTTGTCAAGCCAACCATCTGATCTGAATGCAGGCAAAGTATCCATTTAGCACCGAGTTTTATTCCACTTCTCTATTCCTGTGTTATATGAAACTTTCATTTGGGAAAGAGAATCCTCGGCAGATGATTTTGTGTGTCAAATGCAAATCCGTGAAGCACAGAATATTAGTGTTATATTGATCAATTATAGGAGAGCTTTCTCATTTACGTATCACAAGTGAGAGTAGAATTACAGTTTATTGAATGTCTAAAAATATTTATCTCCAGGCCTCACTAACTTCGGTAAAAAATTTCCCAAAGCAACTAACGAGCTTATAGAAAATTTTATGTGCAAAGGAAAATGAGAAGTGCCCTTTGTATTTACTTTGGGCAGAGTGCAAATGTATGGGCCCTTCTACATACTTGTAATGGTGTTAGAAATTGGTCTGGCTTTTCTAGGAGGGAATTTAGATCCCTAAGCCTAACATCTTGAGTATGTTAAAATATTTTGAACTCAGGATTTCCAAAACTCAGAATTTAGACTAAAGGAAGTAACTAGAAAGTTACATAGCCTGTGGGTAGGGCACCTGGGTGGGCTCAGTCAGTTAAGCCTCCGACTTCGGCTCAGGTCAAGATCTCATGGTTTGTGGGTTCGAGCTCCGTGTAGGGCTCTGTGCTGACAGCTCAGAGCCTGGAGCTTGCTTTGGTTTCTGTGTCTCCCTCTCTCTGTGCCTCCCCCCGCCACCACCTCTCTCTCTGTCTCAAAAATGAATAAATATTAAAAAAAAAAACTTTTTAAAAAGTATCTGGGCAAAGATCAATTCTTTGCTATCTATTTTTTTGTGTGTGCCTTCATATTAACTTAATGTCTGTGTCGCCCTAATAAAATGTAAGTTCAACGAAACCAGGGACATTTTCTGGGTTTTTTTTTCCCCAACCACAGAACAAGTGCTTAGCAGATTGTCTTGTATACATCAAATATTCAACCATTATCTATTATATAAATCAAAGAGTCATTGTTGTGATGTCTGATAGAACACATGAGGAAGTATCTAAACAGCAAAAGTAAGAGACTGACTAAATAAATATGGCCAAATGATGGGACAGATGAAATCCACCAAAAGGTCAAAGTTTTTTTCTAAGTCTATTGATCGACATAAAAAAAATCTTAAGACATATTTTTACATGAAAAAGGTTACAAGCCATATAATTCTAATATTGCAAAAAATTTTTAAAAGAAATAAAATATTGAATGTTTATATGGAGCCACACATATTCTCTCTCTCCTTTAAAATTGTCCTTATATTGTCCTTATTTCAAATATTATGATAAATTGAATTGTTTTTAAATGTTCAATCAGCTTTTTTTTTTTTTGAGAGGGTTATAAAGACCATGTAGCTACTTGGAAAATGGTTAGGAAATAATTTAAGTCTAAACAAGTATACAGAAATGCATGCTGGATTACTACTCTGATAAAGTTACATTAACGTAGGGCTAAGGAAGGGACAAATTAATGTACGACTAGGGAATAATTTGTAGGGGAGTGAGTTTCTGGGTTTCTTTCTGTATCTTTCTTTCTCCCTCTTTCATGCTTCCTTCCTCCCTTCCTTTCCTCCGTCTCCCCCGTCTCTCTCTTTAATTCTTTCTTCTTAATGCCACCATTTTTCCCTAAAAAATTCAATTAGAATCTCATTCAATTAGATTCAATTAGAATTTCATTAGCCCTTTTGGTAATTATTGAAAAAAAAAAAACGGAGTTGAGTATGTTCTCCTTATCTTCAGACACCAGTACATCTTTTAGGAGTTGCCAGAGCCTTCTTTATTAACAACCAACTCAAGTAGCTCAGAGTTGCCCTTCCTCCATAAATCCCTAAATAGGACGAAAACCATACCCAGTGATGAGCAAACAATGACCTATATATTCATTTAGCTCTTGTGCTGCTCTGAATGTCAGTTTTAGTCAAGGATTATTTTATGGGGAAGAAAAATTATGCCCCCTTTTGAGGTAATCATTTTTGTTTGCCGGTTTTTCTGCTGCAGGACACTTCTGATGCATTTCGCTTACGTTTCACATGTTCCAGCATTTTCTACTGACCCTTTAACTAGAAGAAAATAACTGATAGAAAATGCAAGGAACTTAGTTCTCCTTGGTTACACAAACAAGGTCAACCTGAACAAAGGTTTAATTTTCATCTGTAGTACTTCCAAGCTTACAGACCCCAGAGTAGAAACTGAATGTAGATTATTAGTTAGGTTTTATAAATTATTCCCACTCTGATTCTTTTTTTCCCATTCTGATTCTTAAAAATGGCTACAGAAACCATTTGGAATTTTACGGAATTCTCATAACTTCTTAGTCCAATACTCTTGTGTATAACACAGGACTTTGATTTATAAGTGTATGTTCTTTGCATACTCAGATAGATAACCTAATTCTGAGATTAAAAAATATATATATCTTTCTTTGCACATGCCTTTATATTTTCTGCATTTTCTCATTCAAAGTTGTATCCAAGACTTTTCCTTTTGTATTTTACTTAGAAAAAAAAAAAGATGATAATAATTGAGCTTTAAATTAGGACCCTTTTCGATCGAACTTCCTGCTTCTCCCTCGATGACCTCCTACCGAGCTTCTTCCTTCCCTCTCCCCAGATCGAGGGACCTGCAGTATCTGCTTCCTAATTACTCCAGCTGATATGAGGGTGCTTATATACTTCTCTGCCTTCTGTCTCTTATATGTGTATTTTCTTCTCTCTGTCTTTATCCTTTATGCCGCTGCCCCATTTGTTTTCACAGGCCACTCATGAGCTCAGAGCTACTGCTAAGGAAGAGCCCTGAAAATGTTCGCCACGTATTGATCATACCTTGAGAATCTTGCACATAATCTCATACACGGAGAATGTTTTCTCTGCTCGGGTCCAGTCCCACGTTGTCACCTTGAAAAGATGAGAAACTGACATGTCATCTGTTGTAGAAACACACTCCCTATTTCCGTCTTTATCGTACTTAGATAACATGGCACACCATGACACTTTCCCACCTGCAGTACATGATCTCAGTTGTGAAGCTATCCTCATAGAGGTCCCTGTGTGGTGTTTTGGTGTCCTCTCCCTTCGGCTTTATTGCCATTTCTCCTCCTCTTTCAGCAAATGTTTTATGTTATGTGTAACCATCTCCATTTGCCCACCGTATGCATATATTTTAAATAATGTATGATTTACATAAAAATACCAAGGATTTATATTTCTCACACACAGCAATTTCCCAGTTTACCAACCAGTTACATACAAAGAAGCGTCCTAAATATAAACACTGGCTTTAAGTTTTTAAAAAGACATTATTTATATCAAGAAGTTATTTCAAGATGTGATCGCCTTAAACACTGTGAAGACACCAAACAATACGATGAAGTTGGTCACTTTCTTACATTTGAAACATGCATTTGTCTGTCTACTCGTATGAAATTATTCAGAGTAGGAATATAGTAAAATGTATAAATATTAATAGATTTTTTTTCCTGCTTTCTGGGTGCTTTGAACTTTGTATAGACATAGTCATTCAAAATAACAGCAGGTCAGATTCCATATTTCCAAAACCCTATGTAATATTATACCTGTAAGTGAGTGGTCTGGCAATTGATATTCATATTCAATAAATATTTATTAAGAATCTACTGTTGTATAAGGTACATGATTCCAAAAGAAAGACCTTGGGTGCAATAGGTACCCATACATACTTAATACAAAGTCCAATGACTAGAATACAGATATCAAAATGCTACTTTTTTTTTTACTTAGACACACCTGTGTCAAATAGATAATAAGCACATTTTGACTCTCATAAATGCCTGAACAGAAATGCCTTCCAGGGATATAAAGTAAATATTTAACGCCAGAACATATATCTTTAGTAAGATATTTTCAGAAACATTTGCGCTGTTTTCTATTTTTCCCCTGTATCTTATTTGCAAAATACAGGAAAACCTTGGTTTGTGAGCATAATTCATTCCGGAAACATGTTTGTAATCCAAAGCACTTGTATATCAAGGCAAATTTCCAGAACCATTGGCTAAGTCATGATCATGTGACACGCGCTGCTGTCGCATACCACGTGAATTACAAGACATCCCTTGCTGATCAAGTTAAAATTTACTAGAAATGTCTGCTGCCCTGCGGAACACTCGCAGAACAGGTTGCTCGCGATCCACGGTTTTACTGTATATTGGTAATACGCTATTTACCATTATCAAATTGATGTCACTCTGTCATGATAATACGGGAAAAATAAAAACTGTCGGACAAAAACGCTTACCGGAGGTGCCAGAAACTTGTAAAGACAGGATCCCCTCAGGGCTAGAAATGTTGGCGAGTATGCTCGATCTTGTAGAGGATCCTGCTCCCGTGCTTCACACCAGCCCATGTAGACTATCTGTAGGAAAATGGAATATGATTCGCTGTCAACAAAAGTCTCATTACAGATGCGTACTTTGTGTATCTTGGGGGGTATTTTAATTCTCCCATAACATTATCAAATGAATTGATGAGAAACAATACATACGCCACATAAGCTTTCCAATAAGTGGATGTGAACCACTCCCGAGAGCTTACGTTTCCATCAGCACTTATCAAGCATTTGTTTATGCAGTCCAACTGGGCATGAGTTATATTTCCCCCTCTCCACCACCGCGATAAAAATGTTTCCTCGTAATGAAATTTGTCGACTTATCCTATCCGTTTCTCAATTAGTGGCATTTTACAATGAGGATGTGCTCCCAGGATAAAACTATTTAAGAGGGTAAAGGAGATAAGTCAAAAAGAGGTACCCTATGTGATGACCACTGGCGTGGTATACCACATCTCCCGTCTACCTGACAGGATGGGATGATAGCTTTTCTTGATTTAGTCACCAATCTAAGATGAACATAGATCATTCAAACATTATTCATATATCAAATGGCAATGACAACAGCTCTTTGGTCTTTAGATCTTAAATATGGGCGGCTCAATTCCCAAAAAGAAATCATGGGAGATAAGCCACTCCTCCTCCAATCATTTGGTTGTTCTGAAGCTCAAACATATACATAAGCATTTATTCAATGAATTTTAGATTCCTGACAATGTATACACATACGTCATTTCATTTATCTCTTACCACAACTTTATGTGGTAGACATATCTGGAGGATATATTTCCCAGATCATGTCATTTACTTTGGATTTATGGTTGACGGGATGTTCTTTCCTACTCTTAGACTTTTTTTTTTTTTTTTGCTATGAGATCTGTCATGACTAATGTGATATTAATGCACATGACAAAAGTAAGTTGGAGTTAGTATCTTGTGCTTCTGCCATTGCCATGAAGAAAGCATAGCCAAGATGGAAGCATGTGGAGCTGGCCAGAGCCAGAATTTCCTCCTGGGCACAAAGCCTAGCCACGTCCAGCCTAGAGGCCAATTCCAAACAATCAGCTCACTTACAGAGAGAAATAAAACACAGAGAAATAGGCTTCCCATGCTCATATCTTAGAAGAATTATTATTATTTTTTAGAAGAATTATTCTTCACAAATATTCCTAATATCCAAATTGACCATCCCTATAAAGTCCCAAAGCCACTCCTTGTGGAAATAGAAAAAATATCTTAAAATTCATATGGTACTACAAAAGACCGAATAACCAAAACAATATTGAGCAAGAAGAACAAAGCTTGCGACATTTTACCTCACGCTTTCAAAAAATATTACAAAACAAGGGGGGCCTAGATGGCTCAGTCGGTTGAGCATCTGACTTCGGCTCAGGTCATGATCTCACAGCTTGTGAGTTTGAGCCCCGCATCGGGCTCTTTGTTGACAGCTTGGAGCCTGGGGCCTACTTCGGATTCTGTGTCTCCCTCTCTCTCTGCCCCTAACCCACTCACATTCTGTCTCTGTCTCTCTCAAAAATAAATAAACATTAAAAACAATTACAAAACAAAGTAACCAAAACAGTAAGATACTGGCGTCAAAACAGACAGATAAAAATAATGAACAGAGGAGAGAACCCAGAAATAACGTTTACGCATTTCGGGTCAGCTGATCTCCAACAAAATCAAGAATACACAATGGGGAATGTATAATGGCTCGGGAAACCTAGATAATCACATGCTAGAGAATCATTTTAGATCCTTATCTCACACCATATGCAAAAATGCATTAAACTCAACTCAACTCAAAATGAATTAAAGGCCCTAAAGCCATTAAACGACAAGAAATACAATTTTAAAACATTATGTCTTTCCTGTGTATCTCCCAAACTGGATGCAGTTAAAAAGACAGGAAGAGACACATTTTCTTGAGGACATGCAGTAATGTAAAAGCTTGTGTAAATCTGGTAAGTTTGATTCTCCACTTCTAACATCAACTCAACACAATTGTGCATACATGTGCACTAGGCGCATGTATAAGAATATTCATGCAGGTTCTTCTTCTTAGTCCCAACTATGTATCAATAGTTTGAAATATTAACAAACTGTGTATCCTCAAAATACTTCATAGATGAAACTAGCAATAATTTATGGTAAAATAAATACAGCAGGCAAATTAGTAAATTAGAGCTGTCCGGAACAACATGAATGAATCTCACAGAACATAATGCCAATTGAAGGAAGTAGACGTGGAATAACACGTACAAGTAATTTGTTTCAGATTAACGAGTCTTTTGGAATGCATTTCTGGTTGGGAAAAAACAAAAAAAAAAAAGTACTAGACTGAAGCAAGACAATCACCACCATAATTGTCAGGATAATGGTTACGTTAGAAGACAACAAGCTAGTTGTTACTGGGAGAATGCGACCTGGGGAGAAAATGTGAGTTGCTAGCCATCTGCTTTTCTTGACCTAGAATGTGGTTATGCAGGGGTTCGGCTTTTGAATAATCAAGATGCACGTCTCTGACTTATGAGCTTTCCTTACATGCATTGTGTTTTACAAAAACTCATCTAAAACAGCACGCAATGTGTATTCTTAGTAATAGCTTTATAACAACCTTAAAATAACAGAGAGTTTTGTGAGTATTCTAGGAAGAAAGTATTCTGATAAATACAGTTTAAATTGCACTGTCATTATTGGGCCACTGCAATGGGATAGAATTTTAGTTATTACAGATTACATCACCTTCAATCGTTAACATCGTTTCACAATTAGGTCAGAGTCTTTCATTTAAACTCATGTTGATAAAACGTATAGTTTCTCTAGGCTTATGACTTCTCTGTATTGGCAGGAGAAAAAAGAATCGAGTGGTATACATAACCATGAAAAGGAAATATTTCAGCTTCTTAAGGCTATGAAATTTGAGTTTGTTGTCTCTTCCTGCCTCTATAATTTGCTGGAAGCTGAAATGTTAGGAAGGAGATACTGGTATTTTTCAAGAAATATCAATGAATACAATTTTATTATTTTGAACTGAGTGTAGCCTTGGGCGAAGAGCTCAGGATATAGCTAATAAAAATGGGATTATCAGAGCTGTAAGGGGGATTTCTTCCAGGGAATGCTTGCTCTCCAGGCCAAGGATTGCCCTTATCATCTTCTGTTCCAAAACAAGGAAGCAAAGTTCTTAATTGTGCAGAGATTTCTAAGGCACTTTTTGATTTTCATCGTTACCAGGACTCTTGTGAAATAATTATAAGGTTGAGGAGACCTAGGCATTTTTAGTAAATGCTTCCCACACATGTCACAGCAAATGATAATTCTAAAGAAAAACTGTATCACTTAATCTTTAAAAAAATTTAAAAACCCAAATGGACAATAGAGGCATGAGTATTTCAAAGGGGATATTTTAGAAGCAAGGATAATTAAAAGGGAATGGTTTTCCTTGCATACAAAATGACAGGAAGACTTCCACATGTAAAATTTTAAGACAAAGATTTTAGAAGCTTGCCTATTTTTCAGCTTTATTGAGGTAATCAGCAAATAAAATTATAAGATATCTAAAGTTGCACATTGCGATGATTTGATGAACACATATACTGTGAAAGGAGTTCTCCCATCTCATTGATACATCCATCACCTCATATATGTGTGTATTTTCTTTAAATAGATAAGAACATTTAAGTTCTACTCTTAGCAAATTTCAGTTACACAATACAGTGTTACTTAACGTCACCATGTTATACATTCGATCCTCAGACCCTGGCGGTGGTGGGGGGGGGTCTAGATGAATATTTGCACCTTTATACCAACCTCTCCCCAGTTCCTCTAGCCCCTGGCAATCATTTTTCTACTCTCTATTTCTATGAGTTTGACTTTTTTTTTTTTCCACATATAAGTGACACTATGAAGTATTCATCGTTCTCTGCCTGGCTTCTTTCATTTAACGGGATGCCCTCAAGTTCCATCCATGTTGTCAAACAGGATTTTCTTCTTTCTCAACAATGAATATATGTCTCACATCTCCTTTATCCATTCATCTGTTAATGGACACTTAGTTTGTTTCCATATATTGACTACAGTGAATAATGCTACAATGAACATGGGAGTTGCAGATATCTCTTGGAGGCCCTATTTTCATCTCCTGTGTGTATACCCCCAAAAGTGGGATTGCTAGATCATATAGAAGCTCTATTTTTAATTTTTTGAGGAGCCTCCATACTGTTTTCCACAATGGCTGCACCAATTTGCACTCCCACCCAAAGTAGACAAGTATATCCTTTTCTCCACATTCTCATTAGCTCTTGTTATCTCTTGTCTTTTGGATGATAGCCATTCTAACAGGTGTTAAGGTGATAGCTCATTGTGGTTTTGATTTGCATAAACTTGCTTATTTTAAATGGCGTGTGTAATTAGCTGAAAACACACCTGATATGTAAAGCTTGCACTGCACAGCAACATTTTATTTTTAAATTTTTTATTATTTTAAAACTTATTTTATTTTACATTATTTCTCCTCTTTTAAATACTTTAATTTTTAGGGCCATTTGACATATTTGAGTGGAAGGTAGAGATTTCCCATAGACCCCATGCACCTCTCCCACTATCAACATCACCCACAAGTGTGATACATTTGTTACAACTGATGAACAATTGATACGTCATTATCAGCCAGAGTCCATCGTGTCCATTATGGCTCGCTCTTGGTGTTGCATATTCTATAGGTATAACAAATGTTCAATGACACATATCTACCATTATAGTATCATACAGAATCGTTTCACTGTCTTAAAAACCCTCTGTGCTCTGCTGATTCATCCCTCCTCCCCAATCCCTGGAAATTACTGATTTTTTTACTGCCTACATTATTTTACCTTTTCTAGAATGTCATATCTTTAGGATCATACAGTATGTAGCCTTTTTAGATTGATTGCCTTCACTTTTTTTTTTTAAATTTTTTTTTTCAACATTTATTTATTTTTGGGACAGAGAGAGACAGAGCATGAACGGGGCGGGGGGGGGGTGCAGAG